AAATGCGTTTTTAGCTATCAAACTCATTTCCCCGACAAGGGGTGGCCGGTGAGGATAAAACAGAGGTGTTCCTTTCATTATTTCAGAAGCGGTCACATAAGACTTAGCATAGGACTTTAACTGTGCAGTATTGATTGGCCTTGGATTTCTATGATTTCCTTTAGTTCTGAACTTGATGAAGCAAATTCTAGTACTCCCATGAGACCCAAGGAAGTGAAATACTTAGCAAAGGTCGTGTAAATGTTAAATGAAAGTGACAGAAATCAAACTTAGGCTGCCTGTCAGGTGAAATCATACTCATTGTTACCTCCTAGCGAAGCACTTTGGGTAAACTCTTCCTGCTCAGGCTTCCTGAGCCTGTAGTTATTCTCCTTCAGGCTCATGAGTGCTTTTGACAAAGATCCTAGATGCAGAATCCAGTTCTTTCTCTAGGGTTCTCTACTGCACCCGTGGTGACAGAGACACTATCCTAGCATGGGTGACATTCTGAACACAGGCATCACAGATGGTGGCAACACTCAGGGTTTTGGAAAATATCTTCCCAAATGTTTGAAAAACATTCTAGGATGTATGTGTCGGTTTGCTTTCAGTACTGGGAATCGAACTGAGGGTGTTAACACTGAACTACATCCGCATCCTGTTTTATATTTTCCTTTTGAGGGTCCCATAAATCATTAACTTTCCCAGGCTAAGCTTGAACATGTAATCTGCTTGCTTCTGCCTCCCAAAGTGCTGAGATTACGGGTGCGTACTATCATGCCCAATTTTAAAGGTTTTTACCTTTTTGAATAAAAGATACACTCTAAACAGAATCTATATTCATTTTGTGGTTTTTTCCTATAGCTATTGTAAATACTGCAATGAGCCTATCTGCCCCCAATATCTAGAAGTCCCTCACTCTGAACAGATTCAGCTCAAGGTATTTTCTTGTCAGTAATCAGGAAAACTTGATGTCATGTGAGTTGAACTAACATGAAAGAACTGAGATATCATTTTCTTTCAGGTTGATTCTTTTTCATATTTTTCCATATTTCTGGTTAGAGTGGAAAATGAAATTTATCTCTGGTTAGAGTGGAAAATGAAATTTAAGATCATCTACAACAACCAGATCCAGTCTCATGTTATAAACAAGAAGACTGGTTCCAGTAATATATGCTGCTATTTGTGAAGATCTAAATCCATCTTAGACCAGAATAGATGGAATATTTTCAATGATGAAATAGCCCAATGGGCCATGGAGATAGCTCAGCAGTCTAAGTGCCTGCCTAGGTAAGTGCACGGTCCAGGGTTCAATTCATGGCACCACCTGCCTGTGCCGGCCCCACTCCTGGGTGCACAGAGCCGGCCACCGAGCCCTGATGTGGTGTACATCTGCAAGACCAGCTCCAGGGAGGCTGAAACGGGAGGATAACTATGAGTTTGAGCTGCATAGTGAGACCTTGTAGCAAATACATGAAAGAAAGAAAGAGGATTAAAGCACCTGCAAGCAGGCACAGGGGCCGGGGGTTTGATCCCCGGATCTGCTGTGCCAGCCCCGCCCCCCCGGGTGCGCTGAGATGGCAATTGAGACCGGGCATGGTGGCGTGTGCCTGTAATCCCAGCCCTTGGGAGGCTGTAAACAGCCAGATCGCTACAAGTCTGATCTATTAGTGAGACCCTGAACACCCTGTAGATCCTTCCCTAAAATACAAAGCAAGCAAGCAAGCAAGCAAGCACAAAATTGTGTATTAAGTATGACAAGTTGGGACAGAATACAAGTGTCATTTACTAGATTGGCAGCCCTACACATATCATTTAATGTTTCTTAGCTTCAGTTTTATTACCTGTAAAATGAGTTGTTTAAAGATTAGAAATAATATATATACATATAGTACGTCTAGCAATACTTAACACTAAATACTTAGTAAATATTAGTAATCACTTAATTCCAAAGAAATATGGAAAAATATGAAAATACTCCAGCGAATCTGAAGAACATTAATTGTAAGGCATGTTCCAGATGCTCAAGGTTGCAGCAAAGCAAATAAACTAACGAAGCCAACCACTTCGCTATGAAATTACAAGGCCAAATTTAGTCAAACCCCGAGGGAAACATAGCATTTAATCCTAGACTGCCACCTACTGGCCCACAGTAGATTTAAAGAAATTATCAGTAAATTTCAATTTCTGACTGAGTGAAAATAGTGGTAGAAGTTTAGTTTACCTCAGACAAATAATTAGGGTACACATTCTCAAACATTTTTACAAATAAATCTCAACATCAGAATCCTTATTGTAAGAACCACGTCAATATGTTTTATTTTTATTACCCTGGCGAGTGGAGATGGTTTTGTTAGGCTTAACAATAAATGATCTATGACTCAGATATTAATCAAATATAAATTAAGAATGCATTCATTCTTATTTTCCTTTCATATACTAATATTTCAGAGTTTTATTGTTGTTTAATTATAGTAACATTAAACAACCGATTTCAAATTATGTAACTATAGTCAGCTTCAGTTATTATGATTATTAGACCAGAGATTCTTAAAAGGCAATCTGTAGATCAATTGGTTGATTGCATTCAAACTTTCAAAATCATATTATTTTGTGGTAAATCTCAGAAAGTAGTACTTTTTAAAAAATTTTATTTATGTATGTGTGCGTGTGTGTGTGTGTGTGTGTGTGGCCAGCTCAGCCCACCAGGGGGTGGGGCTGGCTGGCATGTGGTGCTGGGGATTGAACTGTGGTCACTGTGCTTTGCTAAGCTTGTTCTAAGTAGGTGCTTTAGACCACTGAGCTATCTCACCAGCCCAGAAAGTAGTATTTTTTAAAGCTTTGCATGCAATTCTTATAGGAGACTATCACACTAGATTGTGCACTTCTTGAGATAAAGACAATTTCTTCTAGATTTTTCTATTCCTGAGGCTTCATGATATCCAATACAAGACAGATAAATGAATGAACAAAAATTAGAAGAATGGATGCACAAAGGCATGCATGGGCAAAGGCCTCGGGACTGCCAGCAGGAGTTAGCAACACCCTAGCTCCAGCAGTCTTGATTCTCTGATCTTCTTGTTTCTAAACAATTGCCTAAACTTTTGTTGTTGAAATTTCAGAGAGGTTCACTCTGGGATCAAAGAAGCCACACATTTGGCCTAGCAAGTTTTAGAGACTATAAGCAAAAGGAAATGAATAAAAAAATGGAATTGCAGCTTCTACAAGTTCATAGAAGGGGAGGAGAATGGGAGACAGGCAAGTATATCATCTACAAATATAAATTCCCTAAATGAATGTTATTATTGTGTATATCTAGAATGTATCAATAAAATAAAAATTAAGAATAGAAAAAAGTCCACAGAGGTATTATATCCTAATTATATTGATAAGATGTAAAGAAACATGCTTCATTAGATTATTTTTTTTCTATTAAAATACCAAATATGAAATGGAATTACCCTACAAAAGTTATTGGCTATTGTTGCACAACAGGTCTTAGATTAGCTCAAAGATTTCAAATAAATAGTATTTAGCTTCACTGACAATGAATAGTGGCAGTTACAGCGTAGACAGCAGGAAACTGAATTGGAATTCAATAGGAAATTGTCCTGAGTTGAAGGGAACCTTTGTGCGCTAGGGAAAATTGGCTTATAAACTCTTAACTCTAAAACATAATTCAGTCATATTATTTGTTCTTTAAGGAAGCAGTAAAAAGCTTCTGTGTTGCATCCATCTCTTTCAGGCTCTGCTTTCAATTCTATCAGGTATATTTCCAAAAGTGGAACTGTTGGGTCACATGATTATTCTAATTTTTTGATGTCTTGCATATCATTTTATTTTCTCTCTCCTTATTTGCTTTTCTGTCCTCTATATCTGGTGTACCTAAATGCAAAAACTCTCCATTTCTCCTCCTGCCTTCCCTTCCCTCCCCTCTCCCGGTAAGTCATATACTGTTTGGGAGATGTACATGGTGTGGAAAGAAGTTGTCTGGATTTGTGTGGCAGAAATAATTTGAAGGCCCCAACATCGCCTTTAAACCCAAATCTCATCACCACGACTGCTCCACACCTTCCGTGTGTACTTGTGGAGGTGCCAAGAAATGGTGCCACAAACACCAGTTCATCCAAAGTCAATTCACTTAAGTGGTCAACTTGCCTATTCTATTAATTCTTTACTTTTAGTTATCATTAAGTTATCTTTATTATAACAGCTTTTGTTTGTTTGTATGTTAGGGAAAGGTCTACAGGGCGTCCAGGGTCCCACTACTAGATCGCACCTGTTTACAGCTTCCCTAGCGCTGGGATTACAGGCTCGCGCCCCCATGCCCAATCCCAATTGCCATCTCGGCGCGCCCGGGGGGCAGGTTTAGGGATCAACTCCCGGCCCCTGCGTGGTCTGCCTGAGCAGGCACTTCAATCCGCTGAGCTATTTGGCCGGCGCTATGACAGCATTCTAAGGTAAATTCAACTAGGCACTGTGTCAGTTCCTCGCTCAGCTAGTCTGAGGAGCCCCAAGGTAAGAGAAAGCACTTACTCTACTGAGCCATCTCTCCGGCCCCTACAGCGACACAAGAAGCCTACAGAATGTCCATTTTTATTTCTAGGGAGGTACATTGCAGTTACCAGAAATCATCTTGCTGCTTTGTTTTGGACAAGTTTTCGGCTCCTTGGGCTGACATATACAAAACGGTACTCATGATTATAACATACATAGCTGTATCTATCGGTGTAAGTGTGTGCGCGCATGCTCACGAACACTTAGCGAAGTAGGAGTCGCATGGTACACCACCCACTGCGCATGCGTTTTTTTAAAGAGCCGCCTAGCTCCCGCGGCCTCCCAGCAGGCCCTTTTCCTCTTGTCGCCCCGCCCCATTTTCCCGAGGTCGCTCCTCCCTGCGGAAGCGAATCACCAATCATCACTGCCCTTCCCGCGCCGTCATTGGCCAGCGCCCGATATTTAAATAAAAGGGGCGGGGAGTCCTGAGTTTGCGCATGCGCTTTAGTACGCCTTCCCCACGTTGGTTCCTGTCTTCAGTACCTCGCCTCAGCCTGGCTTTAGGAGGTATAGTGTCTTGGGGTGACTTGAGGTGTCTTGGCTGTCGCCGCCGCCACGATGGGGAAGACTGCTCATTCTTTGGGTCCAGAAGTACGACCCGACCCAGTGCGGAGCTTCAATCGCTGGAAAAAAAAGCACAGCTACAGGCAGAATCAAAAGAAGCAGTTGAGGAAGCAGCTGAAGAAGCCCGAGTGGCAAGTTGAGCGCGAGGGGATCAGCCGCCTGGTGCAGAACTACGAGAAGGTCTGTGCGGATGAGGGGTGCGGGTCGCCTCTGCCCCTGGCGCGAACGGTCGCCTCTGCCCCTGGCGCGAACGGAGAGCCCGGCGGCGGGGCGCAGTGGCACCGCGCCGGAGGGCTGCGGGGACCCGGCCCGAGGATCGCGCCGGGCTGGTGGTGCGGGAGGTGTCCCCAGGCTTCCTGCGGAGGCCTCGCGGGAGGTCTCCTGGCCGCTGCAACCCACGGCGCTGTCCTCTAGTAGGCGTACAGTGGTACTGAGGGGTCCGAAGACGCGGCTGCAATTCAGTAGTAGTCATACTGATAATGGTAGTGATAAGAAAGGAACAATTGAACAATTGTCGTTGTCATTTTTTTGAGACAGGGTCTTTCTAAGCTCTTCAGGCTGGATTTGAGCTCACCTTGCATCCCAGGCTGGTCTCAAACTCACGGTGATCCTCCTGTCTCAGCCTCCTCAGTGCTGGGATTACAGGCGTGCAGCACCACACCCGGCAGCAATTGTCTTTTAAAGTATTGCCTGTCACAAACTCTTTGACTTGATATGAAGTATAAACCTTAATATTACCATTTTATAGGTGAAAAAGAAGGGAGACTCAGACAGGATAAGAAACTTGTCCCACACTCTCACACCTACTAGGTGGAGTGAATTGGAACCTAGACCTGTGGCTTTCCAGGCGCATAGGCTTCGTGTTCCCATCCAGGAACTGGTGTAGGAAAGCTGGCCTGTTTTTGTTATCTGTCATCCTCATATGGTTGTGTCTGATGTTCCCAGATAAATAGCCTGTTAGTGGTCACTTTAACCTGCAGATCTTTTTCCTTTCAGGATTGTTAGAATGACAGTTCTTCTCCCTTTTTCCTGTAAAACCCATAGCTGTTGGCCTCCACCCACCCCACTCAGCTCTCAGTGACTGTGCCCATTACAGTGTAGTACAGTCAGGGATTTAATCAGGGGAATATTCTTGTACTTAGAGTTATCACTTACTATTCCTATATGGCCTTCCTTTAAATGACCGTGAGGTCAGGATTAGAAAAAGTTAAGACCAGTGGTGGTGAAACTTAACCTATGGCACACATGTCACATGTTGCTGAGGGCTGTATCACTGAAGCTTTGAAAGATTCACTGTGTGGCTTTTTTGCTTACTGTATTAGCTACTTTTTTCCTGTCATTAAAAGGGATAGTGGTAATATCGACTGTGTAAGATGTTGTGGGAAGTTAGCAAGATAACGCATGGAAAGCATTCTACACAATAGGCGTTCCATGGAAATATTCCACACAGTAGCTGTTACATTATTATTACAACTCTGGTATCCGTAACACTTTTAACAAGCCATTGAGAGTTACTTTTTTGAATTTTGTTTTGGACTGTGCCCAGAATTGCTTAGGAAGTAGAGCCTGAGCCATGCGTGGTTTATTCCTGTGAAGTAGTGATTCCTTGTATTCTGTGCAGAGCTTTCCTGAGTTCATATCCTTATTTCTGACCCAACCGGGCATCTTAATTGTATTACAGAGTGCCTTCAATGCCAGAAGTCATTATCATACCTCAGCAGTCCTTCCTCAATTCATAATCCTGTGTATTGGTCTTCTACAGCCATTATAACAGATTGCCACAAACTTTGTGGCCTAAAGCAGGAGAATTTATTCATTCATAGTTCTGGAGGTCTGAAGTCTGAAATCAGTTTCACTGGGTCAAAATCAGTGCTGGCAGGGCCCTGCTCCCTCTAGAGGATATAGGGGATATTCTGTTTCTTGCCTTATTTAGCTTCTTGTGGCTGCTGATGCTCTTTGTGCTGTACTTGTAGTAACCCTGCTCTCTGCCTTTGTGGACATGTTGGCATCTTCTGTGTCAAATCTCCCTTTGTCTTTGTGTGTGTGTGTGTGTGTGTGTGTGTGTGTGTGTGTAAATAACATGTTTTGTTGGATTTAGGGCCCATCTTTATCATCCAGGATATCTTCATCTTAAGATCTTTAATCATATTTGCCAAATCACTTTTGCCATAAAAGGTAACATGTATAGGGCCTAGTGACTGGGGCACAGACATGATTTAGGACCATTTTTAACCTATGACATCTTAAATCCACTATCTAACTATACCACTGAGTTAGGAACTCCAGAGTGAAATCTGTGGCTTTTCTCCTTCCTGCTTTTATATCCTGTTGTACTGGTGATCTTTTTTGCTGCTTAAACTTCTCAATGCTTCACCATTCTTACTGATATAAGTTACTTCAGATCCTATCATTTTTTTACTTGGATTACTACAGTAGCTATTGCTTATAACAAGTATCACCAGACTTGGTATGTTTTTAGCTGAACAGATCAGAAGAGTGGAAGTACTCAGTTCTGTCCCTGTAACATAGAAGCTACTACAAACACACTTAAGTGAACCAGTATTGTGTTGTAAAATTTTAATTAGTGAAATAGGTACTTGATGGGCTTTGGCTCTTGTGTTGTATACACTTTGATTGTATGTTGTATACTGTTGCTAACAGTGTTACTTTAGTGTAAGTGTTTCTTTCCAAGGGGAAACTTAGTCATTTCCCTTGGCTCACAGTTACATTCAGGAAAATGGCAACACTTTACAATGTCAACATACTGCGGTATAGTAGAATATCTTTGTAGTCAGGCAGACCAGGTTTAAATTTCACCCACTTCAGGTTCTCAGCATCTCTTAAGTCTGTTTCCTCATCCAACAAACAGATTACTAATGACTGGGACTCAGATGACTCAAATGAGATGATGTACGCAAACCAAGCATATGTAGTGACTTGTAGTTTGTGAATTGGCCATGTTCTTTGATGCTTCTTGTCCTGGTACTTGATGTTTCAACTACTTGAGGCAAGCACATTCACCTCTTCATTCTGGGACACATTCGACTTTCAGATTTACTTGGAACTTGTCTTCATGACCTCTTCAGGTATGCATCTGTAGCATTTTGAATAACTTGTAGTGCAGCGTTTATTGCTTCCCTGTGATCATTGTCATATTTCTTTGTAAATTTCCTAGCGCATGAACCTCTCAAGGTCAGAGGCCAACCTTATACAAATGATCCGTGACCTACAGTGATGGGGTTATGGCTTGATAAACACATTAAATTGAAAATATTGTTTAAAAAAAAAAGTAAATATTGTTAAGGTGAAAATACATTTAGCAGTCTATTGAACATTATTACTTAGTAACACAATTTACTGTAGAGTCTTCATTGTTTACCCTCATGATCTCAGGGCTGACCGGGAGTTGTGGATTATTGCTACTACTCAGCGTTGTGCTTGGTTCGGAAAGATCAGAAATCAAAATTTGAAGGAGTTGTACATGGTGCCATAGGCCTCTAATCTCAGTACTCGAGAGGCTGAGGCAGGAGGATTGCTGTGAGTTTGGGGCCAGTCTGACTACATAGTCAGTTCAAGGCCAGCTGCCCTACATAATGAGACCCTGTCTCAAAAAATTAAAAAAAAAAAAAAATCTAAATTTGAAGTTTGATTGCTAGTGAAAGTGTATCACTTTCACAAAGTCATAACAGTCAAAAAGATTTTAAGTTGAACTGCTGTTGAGTCAGTGACCATTTCTGCTCATTTTTGTTTTCTCTAGAGGCTGGTAACAAAGTGCTTGTTATTGAATATGTATTCAGTGTTTAGATATTGTTTAGATAAAACTTGACCTTTCCCAGAGGCTTTGCTCTAGTTGGCAGCATTGGCTTGTTCTTTTCAGTTACTTGTTTTTAATAATAATTGCTAACATTTTATGCATGTCGGTAGGCCACGTCCTCACAGCAAACCCCTAAGAAATTGTTCCCATTACACAGTTGTGACAGGGGGAAATAGTCAATGAGAAAGGAGTTCTAACTCAAGTAGTCTGGGTCTGATACCAAAGCTCCAAGCCACTACACTGTACTGTGTTGCATCTGCAAATGTTTAAATTTTAATCTTTTTACTAAGTTGAAGGAACAGCCTCTTCCCAACAATTTTTTTTATTTTTAATTTTAAGAAAAATATTTTTTAAGGATTAGGTCAGAAATATAGCATGAAATAAGTTGCCAGGGATAGCAATACTAGGATATGGTCATTCAATTATAATGAACCTAGTGCAGACCCTAACTACTTGGGTTGTTTGCAGAGCCGTGGTACACAAGTGGAGCATAGTTGCCGTAGCTGGAGAAATGCTGAACAATGTAATTCAGAAACACTTGAAACAATTTGATAGATGCTTGTTGAAACTTATGTAAAGACACATGGAAAAAAATACATGTCTAGGTCTCTAGGGAACTGTGAGGGAGGTGACATTTGAGAAGTGTTGTATAGTAAATATGTATAAAATATTTAAATAGAAATTTGTAACTTAGTGCTGTGGAGTTAAAGAATGAGGTAGTAGGAAAAAGATTGAGTTATTTGGTATGTCACTCCTGGCCTAGTGTGTTAGGGAAAAGCATATTTTCTCTGGCCCTCTATCTTTCTGCCTGGTGGCAGCTGCAGGTCTAGCTTGGAGAAATGGTTGGGGGCTATCCAGTGGTTTGTGGTAGCTGTGAGAGGCTAGCTTTTTAGTGATATCTTTACCGGATGGAAAGATAGAGAAGGACCTTCTAGGTTGAGGGGACAGAACCAAGAAATGCAGGATGATGTGAAAATATAGGGTCTTCTTGAGGGAGGAAATAATACTTGGAATATGGCATGCATTCCTGAATTGGCATTAAACAAGGTTGGAGGTTGTCTTAGTTACTTTTCTGTCATTGCTGAGACAAAATACCTGACTGCTAAAATTATGGAAGGAAAGGATTGTTTAGCTCCTACTTTGTGGAGCTTTCAGTCTATAGTCAGCTAGCCCCAAGGCAGGTGGCATGGCACAGGGGCAGCACTTCAGAGTGGCAGAAGACCAAAAGCAACAAGAGCAACAGGCAGGGGAGAAGCAAGTCCTCCCGTATATTATACGCCTGCTCTTCACCCATACCATCTCAGTGCCCTCCTCTTCCACAAGCTTTGGAGCTTTACAAGTGAGAGCTGTGGCCCCCTGCTGAGTC